ATACATACATACATACACACATGACAAATAGTCATTCCCCAGTAAGTAAATGATCAAAAGATATGAATAAACATGACCCTAGGCAAGTCACTTGACCCCAATTGCCTCGAAAAAACAAAACAAAATAAAACAAAAAAACAGCTTGGTGGTGCAGTGAACCTCAGACACTTGACACTTACTAGCTGTGTGACCCTGGGCAAGTCACTTAACCCCATTGCCTACTCCCCTACCCCCAAAAATACAAATACGATCAAACAATTCTCAAAAGAAGACTTGCAAAATATTAGTAGCCATATGAAAAGAAATGCCTAAATCATTAATAATGAGAAATACAAATCAAAATAATTCTGAAGCTTTACTTCACAACTTGGAAATTGGCAAAAATAAGCAAAAATGACAACAGTCAATGTTGAAAGGGTTGTGGAGAGTTAGGTATATTAGTACATTGTTGGTGGAGCTGTGAATCACTACATTCATTTTGGAAAATAAATTGGAATTATGCAAATAAAATGACCATACCTTTTGACCCAGAGATTTCATTGCTGACTTTTACTCTGAAAAAACCATAAAAAACAAAGTTATCCCATACACAAAGATATTTATAGCAGTAGTTTTTGTGATGGTAAAGAATTGGAAACAAAGTAGATGACCATAGATTTGAGAGTGGCTAAACAAATTGTGATACATGTGAATAGAATGGTATGTTACCATGCTGTAAGAAATAATGAACTGATAAATAGAGAAGCATGGAAAGATCTATATGAACTGATGCAGAGTGAAATAAGCAGAACAAAAAAAAATAAACAACAGTGATAGTAACAATGTACGTGGAAAGAACAATGACACACCAAGACATCCACAGTAAATGTAACAAAATTATAAAGATCCAATAGGACTCAAATGGAGAAATATGGGATATGAGAGGACACTCCCAATCCACCTCTTCATGGAGCTGGGAGGTTCACATTGACACATGGTGTCAGACTTTTTAAATATATTGATGAGTTATGCTGATTTTTTTCCTCTTCCTTTTAGTTTTCTTTAAAAAATAAAATACTATTTGTTATGAGATGACTCCCTGGGAGAAGTGTGGGAGGAATACTGAGGAAAACTATGATGATGTAAAAAACAAAAGAAATCCATAAAAAAAGAAGAAAAAGAAATAGCATCTGCCGTTAGACCTTAGTGTCTCCCCTCCTGCAGTTTCTAGATTGTTAGGCACCAAAAAGAGATGGAGGTTCAGAGATGAAATAGCTAGGGGGAGGGAGGTCTGAGAAGTCAATACCAAATATAAGCAAAGTCAGTAATTTCTGTGAGAGGGGGCATTGTCAGCTTGAGGGAGAAGATCAAGGTGGACTTCCTATAGAATGTAGTACTTCAGCCAAGTCTGGAAGGGAGGTGGGGATTCTCTAAGGCAGAGGCAATGGCTCTCATCTTCAGTAAAAATTTTAAGAGTATCTGTCCCCCTTGAGAGAAGGGAACAGAATGCAGAAGGAAGGGTGGAGAACTGTACCAGAGCTAGTCACAATAATGATAATAATAACACCAGCTAACATGTCTCTAGCACTGGAAGGTTTGCCAAGCCCATCTCATTTGATTCTCACCACAACCTCAGGAGTGGTACATGCTATGATTATGCCCAGTTTTACAGATGGAGAAGCTGAAATGACCTGCCCAGGATCACACAGCTAGTGACTGAGACGGGAGTTGGGACTCAGGTCTTCCTGACTGCAGGCCCAGTACTCTACCCACCGGGCTGCCCAGTTGCCTTGGTCTGTTTAAGCCACTTCAGATTTTCAATGCTGTTAAAACTTTACTTTCAATTTCCTTTTAGTGAGCTCCATTTACTCCAAATGCTGAGTGAACAAATCCTTTGCAGCTATTACAAGAAGGGAAATTAAGGTCAGGAACCCAAGTGAGAATGGGAGCTGAACTGTTTGACAGGTTATAATTCAGAGAGCAATCATTCCTAAACTGCTAAGTGCTTAGCTTGTTGAGCTGGTGGAACACTAGCTTCCAATGCCACCTGGTGGTTTGTACAACTATAATATAATACTCCTTCAAGCCACATTTCTCTAGGTGTCTGCTTCCATGGATATCAAACAAACCAAGTGTTTTGCTTACGAAGATCATTTTGAAAGCCATGTACAGGATGGAATGGAGAGGGGGAGACGCTGGAAGCCAAGAGTCCAATTACTAATAGTCCAGATGAGAGGACACAGGACTGGAACTATGGCAGTGGTCATCTGAGGGAAGAGAGGGGAGGCAGATGGCAAGAGATGTTATGAAAATAGATTCAGTGAGACTTAGCACCAGCTTGGAGTGAGGAAGAGGGAAGGGTCAGAGATGACTCTGAGATTGGGAACTTGGATAATAGGAAGGTGGTCGTGCCTTCAACAGAAACAGGGTAGTATGGAGAGGAATGTTTTTAAAGGCAAGGACATCGAATCCTGTTTTGGTTACAATGACTTTGAAATGCCGGTCTAGCAGCCAGTTGAATTCAGGAGAGAGGTTAAGTCTATGTGTATAGATTTGAGAGTCATCTGAAAAAAGATTATAATTGAATCCATAGGAGATGAGGAAGTCACCAAGTCTAGTGAGAGCAGAGCAGAGGCTCAGGACAGAGCCATGTGGAAGACATCCATGCTCCATGGTTCATAGGATCGCAGAGCTGGAAAGGACCTCAAAAGTCAGCTACTCCAACCCCCTCATTTGATCTTATCTTTTCCAATTAACAAACATTTATTTTCTCCCTCCACCAACACCAACTGAACAAACGAGAAAGAAACCACATAAATATGCATAGTCAAGTGAAGGAAATTCCCTCTTTGGTCATGTCCCAAAACATCTATCCTATTCTGTGTCTTGAGTCCATCACCTTCCTGACTGGAGGTGGGTGTACCTGCTTCATCTTGGGTCCATCCTCTGATTTTACAGATGAGAAAATTGAGGTGTAGGGGGGCTACATGATTTGTCCAAAGTTGTGAGAGAATGATCGAGCAAAAGAGGCTGAGATGGAGCAGTCAGACTGGTAGAAGAGCTAGGAGACAGCAGCACCATTGAAGACAAGGCAGAAAATGCATCCAGAAGGAAAGGGGTGGTTGGAAATCTCGAATGCCATCGAGAGATCAATGGTGATTCTTTCATTTTGTCTTTCTATCCCCCGAATTTAGCACAGAGTAGGTCCTTAACAAATGGTTGTTGATTGACTGATTGACTGAAAAGGCATCTATTGGGCACCTGCTGTGGGTGAAGCACTGTGCTGACAAACACAAAAGCCATGAGTAAGACACAAAGGGCTTCAGGGACAAACAGATGGCCAGACATCTTCTTTAGGGTTGCTTCTTAGCTAAAGTCCTGTTCATTTCTGAGGTTGAACCATTTGACAGCGCCAGGGAACCTCAGGAGACCTTTCCAGGCCTTTAGTAGCTGGGACTACATCGGGTGAGGACAGAGGAATTTGTTTTGCTTGACTTTCATATTTGTTCCAAGGATTCTCTCTCTCTCTCTCTCTCTCTCTCTCTCTCTCTCTCTCTCTCTCCCCCCCCCCCCCTCTCTCTCTCTCTCTCTCTCTCTCTCTCTCTCTCTCTCTCTCTCCCCCTTCCTCAATGGAAGCTGGGTGAGATGGAAAGAAAATAAATGTTTGTTAGTTGAAAAAAAAAACAAATAAAAAAGCAGACTGAATGAGGATAAGCCATTGAATTTAGCAGTGAGGAATCTGCTGGTGACTTCAGAGAAAGTGGCTTTCACTCAGTAGTAGGTCAAAAGTCAGATTTCGAGGAGCTGAGTGAGGAGGAAGTGAGGAAAAGGAGGCAAGAAGAGCCCAGGATGTGGGCAGGCTAGGAGTTTGGCTATGAAGGGGGCAGAATCACAAGCTGAAAGCCTAAAGGAATGCCAGGAGGGGAGACCTGGGCCTGTTTGTAGACAGCAAGGGAGAGATGGGAGATGAGAGAGGTGGGAGACAATGGCCTCAGAGACAGCAGGAGATGGGCTTGAGAGCCCTCCGGAGGGCTGGCCTTGGCCAAGGGCACCAGCAGAGCCTGGAGCCGAGGAGGAGAGGATGGGGGAGGGGATGTGGAGGGCCTTCAGGGGCCTCTGAGGGGTCCGTGAGAGTACACCAAGCACGTCAGGAGTGCTGGGGACAGGAGTCTGGCTCAGGTACAGCCTAGGTTAGCTGGTCCCTCAGGTCCTTCCACTTTGGAGACTGTGATTCCTGGAGACCCTGGGACTCTGGAGTGGTCTCTACCTTCCTCCAACTTCTCCAGTCTGGCCAGTAGCCCAGGCCAGACCCTTTCCAAACATGGGGGCCCCTTCTAGGGTGCTTCTGTTCCCCTAGAAGGGACACTTGAGGTTAATTATTCACTGGGACCTAGGGAAGGAACTGGCCTGGGATGGGGAGGAGGGAAAGGGAGAGAGGGCTGAGGTTCTGGAAATTCCCCAGGGGTGTAGGCTGATCTTGGCCTCTGCAGAAGGGCTGGGGCTTAGTAATCTCTCAGGTCAATCCTTGTTTTACGTTTGAAGAAACTGAGGCACAGAGAGGAAAAGAACCTTGTCCAACATCATATCCAGTATCCTAGAATGAAAGGATTTAAGAGGTAGATGGTTCATCCATTCTTTGCAGATGAGTAAACTGAGGCAGGACCATCAAACAATGCCCCCAGCATGCTCCAATGCCATTCCTTTCTAGCAGAATACATGTAGAATTGGGAGGAGGAGTGGAGGCACCAGACTTTTTTGGGGAGGGGGGAGACCAGTCACCCTAGGCTCTGAGCAGTCACTAAGACCCTTCAGATGGAGGAGAGGAGGGAGGAAGGGCTCCTGACGGGCACTCTGGGTGACCCCAAGCTCCAACCTGTGCCCAAGTGTTCTCCTGACAAAGAGGGGTTTGTCCTAGAAGACTTTGAAGGGCCCTTCCTATTCTGAGCATGACCACTCAGCCCTTCCTGCCCTCCTGGAGGGTGTGGCAGGGTGGGGTGGGCACTCTAAGGAAAGATCCACAATCACTCTGGGCCCCTCATACCTGCTCCAAGATGTACCTGTGTCAGGACCTGGTTCTGCTGGTGCTTCTGAGCTCTGGGGTGGCCTCCCTCATCAGGTAGTGGGGGACCCTTCTTCCCCAGAATCCTTCCTCTCTCCCAGATATCTTCTCTCCTCCCCTACCCCCGACACATTCCTCCCTGACCTGGACACCTTCAAATTCCTTTCCAACCTTTTTCCCGTTTTCCTCAAAATGTCTTTCAATTGCCATAGAGCATTTCCCACCTTATCCCTTAATGGGGAGAAGGCTCCCCCTACCCCCACATTCTTCATGCTCTCCAGGGATGGGGGGTGGGGGAAGAGAAGATGATATTTGTGATGATATGGAGAAGAAGAAGGGGGGGCAGAATAAGTATTTCTCTGGTGCTAGACACTTTACAGTTATTATCTCATTTAATATTTCAACAATTCTAGGAGCTTGGGGCTATTATTTCTCCATTTTACAGGTGAGGAAACTGAGGCAGACACTGGTTAAGTGACTTGCCCAGGGTCACACCACTAGTAAAGTGTCTGAGGCTAGATTTGAACTCAGGTCTTCCTGACTCCAGGCCCAGTACCCTATCCGCTGTAACACCTCACTGCCTCTATAATGCTGTCACTTATGGGTCCTGAATATTTTAATTTGATATAATGAGCATTTATTGCACACTTACTGAGTGCGGGGTATTGTGCTGGGGATACAAATCAATTATTCATTCAGTCAGCAACCATGTATTAAGTATCCTTCGATATGCCTCATAGCGTGCAGAACAAATACCCAAAGGACCCCCAACAGAGCCTGCTCTCAGGGAGCTCGAATTCTGATTGGGGGATGTCCCAATGTATACGGAGAAGGAGAAAATGAAGAGGAACAAGGGTGAAATCCAGGAGGGCTTCCTGGAGGCCAAGGCCAAGGAAGCCTCATCCCCTGGGGTCTCCAGTGTTTGCCAGGGCAGGGGCTGGGGGCCGTCCTCACGAGCTCCTTCAGCAGCCCTCTCCCCTTCTCTGCAGGATCCCCCTGCACAGGGTTCCAGGCTCGCCTGGCACCCTCCATGCACTGAGGGGCTGGAGGACCCCCCAGGTCCCTCTGCCCAAGGACGGGCCCATTCTTGTGCCACTTTCCAACTATTTGGACGTAAGTGCCCTGACCCCCTTCCCCCCACGCCATTCATCTCCCCTTCCCCCATTCGGGCCTCTCCTCAGCCTCTTCTCTCTCTCTCTCTCTCTCTCTCTCTCTCTCTCTCTCTCTCTCTCT